GGGTGAACGCAGCGAAAACTTTACAGTAGATGGGAAACCGATTGCTCCCTCGTGACCTTGTGTAAACTGTATTTATGACAGAGAACTGCACATATACAGATATTATAACAATCTATCGATAAACACACACCTTGTGTCCTCTGTTTCTGTTTGAGTCCGCTCGCGCTGCGCCACCGCGGTCTGCGGATTGAAGAGCGCGCTGAAAGACGGGGAGGAGGTCTGCCGCCGTTTTCATATGAAATTTAAAGGGGACTGACTCTGAGGCGATCACGAATTTGTGTACAGTTTATGGAGCTAATCGCTATAACCCGCTAAAAATGGCCTAGCGATGCCCATGCTTCTTACATTCATTTCGGAGAACCAGGACAATATTTCAATCGATCGCTCTGACATTTAAGTGGCACCGAAATCTGCATTCTGATTCGGTTCTAGTACATGAGGCGATCACGAATTTGTGTACAGTTTATGGAGCTAATCGCTATAACCCGCTAAAAATGGCCTAGCGATGCCCATGCTTCTTACATTCATTTCGGAGAACCAGGACAATATTTCAATCGATCGCTCTGACATTTAAGTGGCACCGAAATCTGCGTTCTGATTCGGTTCTAGTACATACCGGTTACATAGGGTTTCGGTACCCAACCCTAATTGTGAGTATACCTGACAAAGTCAGGTGACACATTGAGTGTTTGTGTTAAGCCTATGGCTAATGGCGCTTTTCCACTGCGTGGTACGACTCGGCTCGGCATGGCTCAGTACGGCACGGCACGGTTTGCGTTTCCACTGCAGTTCAGTACCGCTTTAGAGTGGGCGGGATTATTCACATGCCATTATAGATGCGCCGCCTCTACTACCACGACTCCTAAAAAAAAAAATTTCATTCCGCGTCGCCCCATCAAGCTCTCGCTGGATCCGCTCCTCTGCTATCAACTAGAGGAACGTCTGTTCTTCCGCAACAGACAACAAAACTTTTTGGTTGTTAAAAAAAGGTGCGCTTGTTCAAAACAGTTGCGTTCGATCCTTCGCTGGCTGTGCTGATTTAAATCTAGCGGTTCT